CTTCGCAAGGCCGAGCGGGTCCCAGTAGCCGACGGGCGCCTGCAGGTCCCGCTCGCTCTCGAAGGCGCGCAGCGGCGACTCCGTGTAGGTCGCCCAGTCGCCCCAGGCGGAGCCCGTGAGGCCGTCCTGGAAGAACATCCGTTGTAGGTGTGTGAACAGGCTCACGGGAGTCAACGCCAGGAAGACCCATAGAGCTTAAGCCCCAGGCCGCGGGCATCACGGTGAGCAAAGCCCCGTTCCGTGAGCCCGTCGCGTTTCCTAGGGGGCAACCTGTGCGCCTCCCTGGGATTGGCTCGCCACGAGCACCATGGAGGAGAAACACGTGCCCACCAGCATCGAGAACAAAAAGGACATGTAATATCGCCGAATGTGTACAAGTAGTATCGCGAACCAGGGAACATCCAGAGCAAAGCAAGAGTGAACTCCTCGTGGGACGCTGTCGAGAACCGAAGTACATCGTGACACTGCCAAGGACCACGCAAGATGTGAGCGAGGCGTACGCGCACCAGAAGGGACTCCGGAGACAAAGGCTCGGACCGCGGATAGGCATCGCGCGAGCGCGCTCGACAGAGCAGTTTCCCACACGGCAATGATCAGTACTCATGCCCATGAGGCAAGAGATCTCGATCCCCGTGAGACACCAGTTGATACCGCTTTGATTGCCGCAGGATAAGGCCACACCGCCGTCTGCGAGCCCTCCACAAAGGTCATAACGATTTATCTTGCACCACCCACGTCATGTCACCCCAACGCCGCGAGCATACACGCCTCGTAGTACTACGTGCACCACCAAGAGAACTGCATCTAGAGGTCGAATGCAGCGAAAAAATAAACATAGAGAACCAAGCCGCACTGAGCCAAGAAGAAGTAGCACATCGCCCGTGACGAACACAAGACGTAGCAACAATAGCACTCCTCCGCGGCTCACGCACTTGGAGGGTCTTCCCACTAGGGTAAGGATTTCGTGCAGCCGAAGCCACACTGGGACACGCAACCACCCTAGGAATTTCTTGCGCTACCCGAAAAAAGGTACTAACTTTGCCGTTCAGCCTGAATTCTGAGCGCGTCTGCCGTCGCTCAGCGTGCACATAAAACAACCAAGCTGGACGTTACCCCTCCCCGGCGAGTATCCAAGATACAGGAGCCGTAGTACCGCAGGGAGTGGAAGAACATCCCGATGATGGCCATCATGGCCAGGCGGCCTTTGGCCAGCTCCGCGTGCAGGGACCGTTTCTTCTTCTCAGGGTCCGCCGTGGCGTCGGCGCCAGCAGACTGGTCCTGGAACAGCTCACAGAACGCGCAATGAGCCACGATTTGCTCCCAGCCCGTCGCGGGAATCTTGGAGAGGGCGCCGAGGCCGTTGAGGGCGTCCTCGACGGTGAGGCCCTCGTCCACCTCGTCCACGTCCTCGTCCTCCGCCTCCACCTCTACGCCCTCGTCCTCCGCCTCCACCTCCACGTCCTCGTCCTCCGCCTCCATCTCCACCTCCACTGGCGCCTGACCGTCCCACCTCGCTCTCGAAGGCGCGCAGCGGGGAGTCCGTGTGTAGCGCCCAGTCGCCCCACGCGCTGCCCGAGAGGCCGTCCTGCTAGGACATCCCGATGGTCGCCATCCTCGCCAGCCTTCCGTTCGCGATCTCGGCGTTCAGCTTGCGGTACTTGGTCTCGTCGGCCGGGGCACCAGTGGCCGCGGCGGCCACTGCCGCGGCCGCCGCACCCGCGGCAGCCGCGGCCGCCGCGGCAGGCCCCAGGGCGGCAGCGCGCGTCACGGCGCCGGCGGCCGCGGCGGCCGCGCCCGCGGCCGGCCGCCGCGAACGGCCGCGGCGGCCGCGGCGGCGGCGGCGGCGGCGGCCGCCGCAGGATCAGCGTCACGGTCAGCGGCCGCCGCCCGCGGCCCGCCAGAGGCGGCCGCGGCGGCGGCGGCGGCAGCGCCGGCCGCGGCGGGGGCATCGGCGGGCACGGCGGCACCCGTGGCCGCGGCGGCCACGGCGGCGGCCGCCGCTCCCGCGGCGGCCGCGGCCGGCCCCAATGCAGCAGCGCGCGCCACAGCGCCGGCGGCCGCGTCGGCCTCGCCGCGGCCGGTCGCCGCCACGGCCGCGGCGGCGGCGGCGGCCGCGGCGGCGGCGCCGCAGGCCACGCCAAGGCCGGCAGAGGCCGTGCAAGGCCGCGGCGGCGGCCGGCTGGCCGGGCTGGCCGCGGCGTCAGCGCGGCCGGCGGCGGCGCGCCGCTGCCGCCGCCGCCGCAGCGCCGAGCGCGACACCATGGCAGAGCGAGCGGGGGCGCGGAGGGGGGCGACCCCCTCGCACGCCCCCGCGGGCGGGGATGCCGAGGACCGAGGGGCGAGGGCCCAGCCAGCCGCTGAGGCCCGCTTGAGCCAGAGCAGCTTGAGCCAGGCTGCGGACTGGTGGGGATACGCGAAGCGTCAAGAGTTTCGAAAAACCATACCTCCAACCTGAGCATTGGTAAAACACGGCAGGGCGCAGCTTGCGGGTCCAGCAGCGCTGCGGGAGGAGGAGGAGGAGGAGGAGGAGGAGGAGGAGGAGGAGGAGAAGGAGGAGGAATAGGAGGAGGAGGGGGAGGAGGAGAAGGAGGATATGTTTAGGAAACGATTGCGCACGATTACGCAATACAGAAACATTGTTGAGCTGTCCCGTTATGTTTGTTGTTGGATCCGCGTAAGACAGCACTCCGCTGGACCTCCCAGGGGCCCACGAAAATGGCGGCAGTGGCGCAATTGGGCAGCACCCAGGAGGGCGAGGGCCCCACCTGGAACCATGTAGGGCACCACTGCGCTTGACCTCTCAGGGACTCACGAAAGTGGAGGCAGATATTCAGTTGACAGTGCCTGGGGAGGGCGATGTCCAACGTGGCACCACGTAGGACAACATTCCGCTGGAGCCCGAAAGTAGCGCGACAGCCGCAACTGTTGCGCGGTTGGCATCATCCATGGATGCGAAGTAAGAAGCAAATAAATCATAGCAAGCAAGAAGGGCACGGAAGGAGGCGGGACGACGGAACAATAGGAGACGGCATCGCACTGCTCAAAACGAGAACCCAACGCAGGATTGCTATACATTCCCCAGACAATACTTGCTTTTAGATATTCTTACCGCATAGACCACCATTCGGGTGATAAGGAGGTGAGGGGGGGGAGGGACCAACGTCGCACTCGATTGATCTTATTATCGAACTCGCTACCGATCTCACAATCAATCTCAACCGATAAATCTCACAATCGATCTGACTATCGATCTCACAATCAATCTCACAATCGATACCACAATCGATTTCACATTCGGTCTCGCTATTGATATTCTGACTATCGATCTCACTATCAAACTCACTATCGATCTCATTATCGATCTCACATTCGGTCTCACTATCGATCTCACTATCGATATCACAATCGATCTCACAATCGATCTCGCATTCGGTATCACTATCGATCTCACTATCGAACGCACTTTCGATATAAGTATCGATCTCACATTCGGTCTCACGATCGATATCACTATCGATATCACAACCGATCTCACAATCGATCTCACATTCGGTCTCATCATCGATCTCACTATCGAACTCACTATCGATCTAATGATCGATCTCAATCGATCGATCTCACAATCGATGTGACTATCGATATCACAATCGATCTCACAATAGATCCCACAATCGACCTCGCATTCGGTCTCACTATTTGTCTCACTATCGATATCACCATCGATATCACAAACAATCTCCCATTCTGTCTCACAATCGATCTCACTACCGATACCACTATCGATCTCACTATCGATTTCACAACCGATCTCACAATCGATCTGACATTCGGTTTCACGTTCGATCTCACAACCGATACCACAATCGATCTCACTATCGATCTCACATTCGACCTTACTATCGATCTCACAATCGATCCGCATCACCATCATCAGCATCATCGGGACACCATCAACACCATCATCATCATCATCATCATCATCATCATCATCATCATCATCATCATCATCATCATCATCATCATCATCATCATCATCAGCACCATCATCATCATCAACATCATCATCATCATCGGGACACCGACGGGACACGGGCGGGACACCGGGGCCCCCGGCCGCCCGGAAAGGAGTCATTTGGTCCGGCCGCGCCTCAGCCACACGGGACACCAGCGGGACACCGGCGGGACACCGCGGGCCCCCGGCCGCCCGGAAGAGAGACATTTGGTCCGGCCGCGCCTCAGCCACAGGAGACTTTCTCTCGCCCGCCCACGCACGCAGCTTCGCCTCGCCCGCACGGCACGCACGAACACGAAACCGAAATCGATTTCCCGGTAAGGGGGCTCTCCGTTCCACTTCGAACTTCGATCTCCCCCCCTCACCTCCGACTTGTCTCACTAAGGAATTGGCTGGGTCCAGCGTGGAATTCTATGTTGCCGCCTCGTGTCTGCCTCGTGCGCTGGGTGGGTCTGGCGAGGTTCGACCAAGCTGCCGCCCCGCCGCCTCGTGCGCTGGGTGGGTTCGGCGAGGTTTCGCGATGTTGCCGCCCGTTGCCGATTCGCTCGTTGCCGCCTCTAGCTTGCAGCACGTAGCTACACAATCACAATGCAACAACTCATTGTTTGGGGTCTACGCTGGCTAGCATTCAACACACGTAAAAACAGGATAAGCAACACGTGTAAGATGAGGGCCAATCAGATGAGCTGGCAGATGGAGAGACGCCCAGACGAGGAATACTCAGAAGAAGGAGCTGGAACTTCAGGCGCGGCTTCTTACCGAAACCTGGGTAACATGCTCCCCAAGCTTGCATGGCGTATCACTGGCACCCGCGTGGCTTAATACTGAAAACCGTGCACTGTTGCCGAAGCGCGCTGTGCCCCCTTCTGCGTCTGTTCGTGAGGGCGATGGGGACACGAGGGGAGGGGAGAGGAGGGGAGAAGGAGGGATGGGGACGGCGCGGGGAAGACGGGCGGGGGCAGCCAGGGTCGGAAATGACTGCACATATTTACCTCGCCTGGCGCACCTCGCCTGCCCTCCTTCCCCCCTTGCTGCGGTCCTCGCCGACCAACTGCAACTCATGGAGCCGTGTTCCTTGCCCCTCCCTGGGGGAACCCATCATATCGACGATCTCGCGAGAAGGGGTGTCGGAAGTGATGGGCTCCCCCGAGGGGTTCAGGGACCACTGCTGCCCCAGTCGTGGCTGCTCTGCCCGGCTCGGCCGCGGGCCCGCTCAGCCCTGGCTGGCGGGCAGCCCCGCAGCCTCGAGCAGTGCGGCGGCGCGGCTGCGGAACTCCGCCTCCTCGCCCGCGGCCCCTAGCGCCGCATGCCCCAGCCCCCCGGGCGCCGCCCCTGCTCAGAGGAGGGCCATGGTCAAGGTTTGTGTCGACGCACCACACACGCCTCGGTGAGCAACCGATGTGCATGGCAGGCGGTTTTGGCAGTCACGCTGCCCACTCTCCCTCCTCGTCTTCCGTTCCTACCTCCTGCTCCTTGTCTTCCTTCTCCTCCGTGGCAAGAGGGCCAAGGTCAAGGTTTGAGTCGACGCATCACGCACGCCTCGGTGCGTGCTCACATGCCCAGGGTTTGCTGAAGGCAAAGACTTGACGATTCTTCCTTGAGCTCATCGCGACCTGGGGGACCTCATGGCAATCAAGTGCGTATTCCAGACTGAGACAACGGCGGCTCTCCCGTCCAGCCCAGCTCCATTCAGTCGCCATCCTTGGGTCCATCCCGTCCTGTTCTGTGTGGCGGATCTGGCCGTGGCGGCGACACGCCTCCAGGTGGCCAAGAAAGGACGGAGATTGCCAGGGAGAGGGCCGCCGTTGCCTTGACTGGCCCCCCTTCCGACCTGCGCAGTCCTCGTCCGCTCCCTCGGCGGCCTTCGCTGGCGGCGGCGCCGTGGCCTTCTTCTTGGCGATGGGCACGACTGCCCGCGGAGGCGCGCCAGTGGGCCCCGAGGCGGTGGGGGCCTCTTCTGGGCCCTGAGCGGGGGCACCCTCCGCGCCCACCTGATCGGCCCAGCGCTGCCAGCAGCGCGCCGCCTCGTCCAAGAACGCCGACGCGGCGCCTCTCTCGGGCCGGCACCGGATCTCGAGGGTGTTGGGGTCCAGGACGGTGCCCACCGCTGTCCACGGAGCGGCGGACGCGCCGGCGCGCCCCAGCCTCCGCCTCTTGAGGGCCTGCGGGAGGCCCTCGGCGTCCTCTAGGGTGGGGGCTGCCAGCCCACCTGACGGCTCGCCGCAGCACAGCGACGCGAAGCACTCCGCCCCCGAATCCAACCCCGCCTCGCCGATCACCTGCCACACCCTTGCCGCGCGCGCCGTCAGTGCCCCCGAGCGGGCGGGGGCGGCGGCGGCAGCCGCGGCGATGCGCCCAAGCGCCGCCTGCCGCATTAGTGGTGCCAGCTCGGCCACGGAGGCCGTAAAGCTGCTGGGGCTGGCGCCCTCACGGTCGCGTGCCAGGAGCGCCTCCAACCACCGTAGCATGCGGTCGGCGTCCTCCTCCTCTACCGCGCCCACGTCGGCGCAGGATGCCGCCGCCGAGTGCTCTTCGCCGACGCAGCCGTCGCAGATATTCCTGAGACTCGGGCTATTGTCCGGCGCGGGCTCGGGGACCGGGCTCCTCCACCCCAGCGCCTGGCACACCACGTGGCGCGCGAGCCTTGGCGCCAGGTTGTCGGAGCCTGCCGCCAGGAGCGCGTGAACTGCACGCGCCTCCCGGCCGTCCGCCCGCGGCTGCCCCGCCAGCAGCGTCCCCGAGAGCTGCCCCAGCAGCCTGCCCTCGTCTGGGCACAGCGCCAGCAGCTCACGGGCTTCGCGCGCCGCCGAGCCCTCGGCCACCGCCGCGACCGCTGGCGACCGCGCCTGGGCGGCGATGGCGGCTTGGCCTTCGGCCACGTCGGCCTCCCCGCTGGTATGGCCCTGGTGAGTTGGGGGCGCAGGAGAGAAATAGAGAGAGAGAGAGATAGAGAGAGAGACACGCCGATGCCCGCTGCGAGACGGACCCGGCCGTGGCGACGAGGGGGGCGCCTCCTGGAAGCCCCGAGAAAGCGAAAATGAAGGGGAAAAAGAACCGGTTTCGGCGAGCTCTTCTCCACCGGCCTCGCCCCCGGCGCCCGGGGCAACGCCGCGCCTGCGGGCTGCGGCCTGGCACAGGTGCCGCAGCCGGCGGCTGAGGAAGCGCCCGTCGCGAAGCGGCGTCACCGACCGCCCCGCAGCGTCGACGCGGGCTGGGCGGCCACGCCGCTCGACCAGGGCCTGCTGTGGTCTCCAGTACCTCTCCAGCAGCAGCCAGGTCGCCTCCCGCGCCGCCAGCCGCAGCAGGTGCAGCGAGGGCAGCCGCTGGTGCGTCGCCTCGTGGCGCAGGTCCACGAACCACTGCGGCCAATCCAGCTCCTGTACGAGAACAGCGGCCGAGCACCGTACCGTGTTTGGACCCCCGACGGTCCCCGATCCAGCGTGGGACGGTGCATAGCTTTTCGGCTCTCGTGGGCCTAAGAACTACGATCCGGAACTTTTGGATAGCGTGTCTCGGCGGCGGCCCTGGCGACACGCTTTGTCATGCGAGGTGATAGCGCGTCGCTCCGCTCCGCGGGGCGCGAGGCCGGGAAAGGCTCGGGACGTTGACGGCCCGGAACAGCGTTTCGCGCCCAAAACTGGCGGCGCGACACGCTATCCCAAATTTCCCGACAGCATGTCCCGTACCATCCGCAGGTCGAGGATCGATTCGGGAGACGTCAACGCGGTAGGGTGCACACAAGTCGTCCGCGGATCCTGAGCCAGCATCGCGATGCTACCCGCCCTCGCCTTCTTCTGCGCGGGGTCGACGATGCCGTTCACCAGCCGCACGACCGCCATGCTGTAGAGCAGCTGCAGCTCGTGCTCGCTCCGCGGCGACGTGGTGCCTGGATTTTGGGCCGGGTCGTTGAGCATGATCTCCACGAACGAGCCTCGTGGTCGAGAAACCTGTAATGTCATGCGCGTCCCTCCTGCCTTCCCCCCTGCCCCCTCCCTGTCTCCGCTTCCTCTCTCCCCCCCCTGCCAACCCCGCCTCCAAAAAGGGAGGGGCGAGGAGGAGGAGGAGGCAAAGAAGGAGGGGAGGGAGGGGGAGGAGGGAGGGGAGAGAGGGAGGCTTAGAGTGGTGAGAAAGAGAGAGAGAGAGAGAGAGATAGAAAAAACAAAAAGGAGAGAGAGAGAGAGAGAGAGAGAGAGCGAGAGAGAAGAGAGAGAAAGAGAGAGAGAGAGAGAGAGAGAGAGAAAAAAAAAAGAGAGTGAGAGAGAGAGAGAAAGAGACAGAACAAACGAGAGAGAGGGGGGGGGAAAGAGGGAGGGGAGAGAGGGAGGGGGAAAGAGGGAGGGGGAAAGAGGGAGACCCCTTCCTCTCTCCCCCACGCCTCCCCCCTTCCCCCTCCTTTTCCCCCCTCCCTCACTGGAGGCGGGGCTGGCAAGTAAGGCGCCGCAGCAGGGGGGCGGCCCTTTTCCGAGCTGCCGCCCAGGCCTGTTAGATCGACCGCGACCGGGAGCTTGCCCCGGGTTCTCCACGTCTGCACCCGCCGCACGCCCGCGCCCCTTCCGGGGAGGGCACGCCGCGGGGGCGAGGATGCTCGGCCTCCCCTTCCCCCCAGCCTCCTCCTCCCGCTCCCCCTCCTCCTCTTCCTCCTCCTCCTTTTTCTTCTCCTCCTCCTCCTCCTCCTCCTCCTCCTCCTCCTCCCCTTCCTTCTCCTGCTCGTCGTCGTCGTCGTCGCCGTCGCCGTCGTCGTCGTCGTCGTCGTCCTCCTCCTCCTCCTCCTCCTCCTCCTTCTCCTCCTCCTCCTCCTCCTCCTCCTCCTCCTCCTACTCCATACCTTTTCCTCCACTCCTCTTGCTTATGAGCATTTCCTCCCTGTCGCACCTCGAGGCGTGTCGGTAGCGCGGGCCGAGCGTCTCGCTTGAGATTTCCTCACCATTTATGATCGTGAATCTCGACATGTTCATGGGTTTCACGTATGGCAGGCGGGGCGTTTTCAACATGTGGCTCTCGCCCCAGCGCCACGCGCATTCGTTTTAAACGTTTGCACGAGTTTCATGGATGGAAAGCGGACCGTTTTCAAAATGTGGCTCTCGCCTGAGCGCCGCGCACATTTACCTTAAAACATTGCACGAGCTTTGCGGATGGAGGGCGGGCTGTTTTCAAAATGAGGCTCCCGCCTCAGCGCCGCGCACTTTCGTCTCAAGAGCTTACAACAGTTTCAATGATTATTATGACTGGCGTCCAGGACACTGTGATCTGGCACGATGTCTTTCAGGGCGCAACAGTCACGATGATTCGCGGTGTTGAAGTCCCAGGAACTGTGTTTTGACACGATTCCGGATCGCTTGGACGCAACAGTATCGTTGACTCGCGGCGTTGCAGTCCCAGGAATAGTGTGTGGCACGGTTCAGTATGTTCAAGCGAATCTCTTCTAATGGGACACTTCCCGGAGTTAGCAGAAATCCTGGTAGGGGCATATTGAGAAGGAGTTTGGAGGGAGGGCTTGTTGCAACATCGTCGGTGGGTCCTAGGTTGACACTGGTCCCCCTCCTCCTCCTCCTACTCCTCCTCCTCCTCCTCCTCCTTTCTTCGTGCACCCCCCCTCTCCTCCTTCTCCTGCTCGACGCCGCTCCCACTCCCGCCCCGTGCCCGTGTGCCCTTCCGCGACTGTTCAGTATGCGTGGTGCCCTCTTCGCTCCCCGATGCTGTGCGAGCGGGGCACCGCCTCTTCCCAACACTCTTGAAACGCACAGGGCTCTACCAGTTAGTGTGTTGCCACTGCTTGCTGTGCTTTCTCAAATTGAACCATGTTCTCAGATCAGGACAATACGTCTTTGGCCATGAAAAAAAAGGGCTCCCGCTGGAGCGTTGGCTTCGCTTGAGGATCGGCGCTTTGCTCCCGTCGTGCAGAGTGGCACTCCCAATCCATCGCGAGCCACATTTCTGGATACGATTCCTTCCTCGTCGTTTTCGCCCCCTTATTTCCCCTCCACCCCGCCTCTCCCTGGTTGTTCTGCTCCTCCCGCTCCTCCGCCCGCTCCTCCTGTTTCTGCTCCTGCTGTTGCTCCTGCTCCTCCTCCTACTTCCTCTTGCTCGTGCTCCACCTCCTCCTCCTCCTCCTCCTCCTCCCTCCTTGCTATTGTGATTGCGCGTCCTTTCTGGTTGCGCATTGCTCGGTGGGGTCACTTGGGGATCCATATTCGCTAGGATACCCGTCGGTGGATATCTACACATCAGCGGGCGCACTGATAATGAATGGGTGGGGCGGGCCGAATGCCAGATATGGCGCGCGTCCACCTAGCCTGCCGTTGCCCCTCTCCCATCCTCCCTCCCCACGTATGGAGTAGACGACTGCCCAAGCACTGCCAATGTCATTATGGGAACAAGCGCGATCCGACACCCGTCTCGGCGAACAGAAACGGGTTCAACGGAATGCCACCATCTGAAGGGATACGTGGGATGGGTCGGATGCCAGATGTGGCGCGATCGCGCTCAGCTGGATGATCTCTCCAGATGAATACTACTCTCCTCTCTATCCCCGGAAGATGTCATGCCCCGCCTTCTCCGCGTACTGTTTTTTCACACAAGATTCGGTAACGGTGATTTTCGTATGATTGTAGTGGCCTCCGGCCAGTTGCGCCGATCTGGGGCGCTCCTGATTCGCGTCAGAACGGACGACGACGACGAAGATGACGCTCCTCCTTTTCGTCCTCCTTTTTCTTCTTCTCCTTCCTCCCTCCTTGAAGGTATACAAGATGCTTCTGGGGGCTTTTCGGGGGCCTCATGGGCTCGATGGGACCGACAAAAACATCGATCCGGGGATGAAGCCCTGCACCGGATGGACCCGGGAGGGGTCCACGGACCAATTTTGAGTGGACGCGGAGGAGGATGAGGAGGAGGCGGCGGAGGAGGAGGCGGAACATTGGACATGACACTTCTGGGCAGCAGAGGCAAGACAATGCCAGCATGGAAAAGATGAGGATGAGGAGGAGGAGGAAGAGGATGATGATGATGAGGAGGAGGGGGAGGAGAAAGAGGAGGACGAGATTAAACGAGGAAGAGGAGGAGTATGAATCAACGGGAGCAGGAGGATGAGGAGGAGGCCAAAGAGGACGAGGAGGCTGAGTTCGGATAGTGATGATAATAGAGGAACGGATTTGGATAAAGATGATGATGCTGATGCTGTCGATGCTGATGCTGCTGATGATGACGATGATGTTGATGAATATGGCTATGATGATGGTGATGATGATGCTGATGATGATGCTGCTGATGATGATGCTGACGCTGATGATGATGCTGATCATGGTGATGACGATGATGGCGATGCTGAGAATGATCATGAGGAGGACACGAGGATGATGATGATGGTGATGATGATGATGATGATGATGGTGATGATGATGATGATGATGATGAAAACAAGGAGGAGGTGGAGGAGGAGTCGAGCTGGAGGAGCAGGAAGAGCAGGAGGCCAATGAGGAAGGGGAGGCTGAGCAGGGTGATAGGGAGGAGGAGGAAGAGGAGGACGTGTACGATGTGGAGGAAGAGGACATCCTCGGCGTTTGTCGGCGCTCTTGGAAAGGTTTCTTGGAGACCTCTTCGGCCACTTCGGGGCTAGCTTCGGACATCAAAGGTTCAAGGATGGTCGCTTGGCTAGGTATCGGGCCCCTTTGGCTGGACACCTCGCCAAGAGGCTTATTGGGGACCGTCTTGGGGCGCTCATGGGGCCATCGGTACGGGTTCATGACGAGTTTGTTTTATGGGGGCGCCGTGAGCCCTATGATGACGATTTTGATGATGGTGGCGCTGACGATGACAACGACGGCGATGCCACGATGACGACCATTATGATGTGGCTGATGATGATGCTGATGATGATGATGATGCTGATTGATAATGATGATTGCGATGATGCTGATGATGATGATGGTGATGTTGATGTTGGTGACGCTGTGAGGGGCTGCGGATACTGATGCTGATGCTGATGATGCTGCTGATGATGATGGTATTGGTGATGACGCGGCTGGTGATGATGCTGATGATGGGGATTGCGATGCTGCTGACGGTGATGATGATGATGATGATGATGATGATGATGTGGTTGATGGTAATGATGATGATGATGATGATGATGATGTTGATGGCGATGATGATGACGACTATGATGCTTCTGATGATGGTGATGATGTTGACGACGAGTACCATGATGTTGCTGCTGATCATGATGCTTCTGATGATGATGATGATGATGATGATGATGATGAAGATGAAGAGGCAGATGATGATGATGATGATGATGATGATGATGTTGATAATGATGATGATGATGATGATGATGATGATGATGATGATGATGATTATGATGATGATGATGATGATGATGATGCTGATGATGATGATGATTATGATGATGATGATGATGATGATGATGATGCTGATGCTGATGATGATGATGATGATGATGATGATGATGATGATGATGATGATGATGATGATGATGATGATGATAATGATGAATAATGCGCCTGATTTGCTGCACTTAGGGGGCCCTAAGTGCAGCAAATAGTTTAGCCATGCTCGAAGGTGTCCGTGGGGGGGTGAGGTGGGGGCGGCAGGAGTAGGAGTAGGAGTAGAAGTAGGAGTAGGAGTAGGAAGAGGAGGAGGAGGAGGAGGAGGAGGAGGAGGAGGAGGAGGAGGAGAGATAGGCGGTGGAGGAGCACTTGGAGAAGAGGGTGGCGGAACAAGGGGGGAGCATGAGCAGCCGGAAGATGAGAAGGAGGAGGAAGAGCTTAATTGAAGATGAGTGCGTAAAAAATGCGGACGAGGAGGACGAGGAACGGGGTCGACGATACTGATGATGATGATGATGATGATGCTGCTGCTGATGATGATGATGATGATGATGATGATGATGATGCTGGTGATGATGATGATGATAATGACGATGATGATGATGATGACGATGACGATGATGGTGATGATGATGTTGATGATTATGATGATGATGGTGATGACGATGCTGATGCTGATGGTGATGCTGATGATGGGGATGCTGATCATGATGATTATGATGGTGGTGATGTTGGCGACGAGTACCATGATGTTGCTGATGCTGATGATACTGCTGATGATGATGGTATTGGTGATGATGCGGCTGGTGATGATGCTGATGATGGGGGTTGCGATGATGCTGGCGGTGATCACGATGATGATGATGCTGATGCGTTTGATGGTAATGATGATGATGTTGATGGTGATGATGATGACGACTATGATGATGATGGTGATGATGTTGACGACGAGTACCATGATGTTGCTGCTGATCACGATGCTTTTGATGATGATGATCAGGATGATGATGATGATGATGATGATGATGATGAAGATGAAGATGGTATGATGATCATGATGACCCTGAATTGCTGCACTTAGGGGGCCCTAAGTGCAGCAAATAGTTTAGCCATGCTCGAGGGTGTCCGTGGGGGGGGGGGGGTAAGGTGGGGGCGGCAGGAGTAGGAGTATGATTAGAAGTAGGAGTAGTAGTAGGAGTAGGAAG